AGATTATAAGCACATGTTATTGTTTCTGTTTTAGAGTTTAAAGGAGAAATGTAGTTAAAAACCAACAGTTCACAGATGCTGAAACATTGACACGGATCGGTGATGTTCACATCAATATTGCCACAATCCTCAGGGGGCTCGGTGTATTGGCAAAGCTTTCATCTGCTACTGTACGCCTGTGTAGTCTGATTTTCCTTGATCCTGACACACACAGACATTCAGGATGGACGTATTACCCCACACCACTCCTAGAAAACAAAAGAAAGCAAAACAATTTTAAAAAAAGAAAACACGAAACGCGAGAAAATACACTCTGGGTTCGGTTCTGCAAATCCAGAAATGGGAGCAGAGAGTTAAGAACAGATGGAGGAACAGGTTCAGGGGTTAACAAGCAGTGATGAAAGGCTGAAATCAGAAGTTAACACTAGAGGGCGATAAAGAGGTGTGTGGATGTGTGATGATGGCTCTGACCATGAACATGTTGAAGCTTCACGTTTTTCATTGACAGATATTTTTTAGGTAATTTGTTTGTACGTGAAAAAAAAACCATTAAACATAAATATTTTCATGCAAATGAACAACTGATCATTTGTATCGACACATGTTCCAGCTTTGGGCATGCCAATTATCACAAAGTGCAAGATTATTCATTTATATCATCAAAGAGAAAAAAAAAGCTGCTGACTGTCATTCGTCCTTTGACTTTTCTTCCAGTTGTTTCATAAAATGTTAAAATAAAAAACGAGACCGTGACCTTGTTCCAAGTTGTGACTTCATGCCAGAAAAATCGCACCACATCCATCCTTTGTCATCCTCCCATCTATGCCCTCTTTCCTTCCTCTGAGTCCTTGTCATAGACTAAACTCTCTGCACTCAAGAGAGTTTTATTGGTTTGCTTAATTGATTATTAACAAGTTGATTAAGGGTCAATTTAATAATTAAAGTTTGTTAAGGTCAGGGTCGGTTTAATGGCACAAGCGTTGGGGCAAATTGGGTTCCTGAACTTCCTGCTGTGGTGTGGGTTTTGCTGCAGTGACAGCAGAGAAAATGTTGACAGGAAACCAGATTGACTGGTGGAAATAAGCTTTTTCTATATTCATCGAAGAAGAAGGAAAAAAATCTATAGCGATTATTTTAGTCTCAGACTTGAGCTTCGGAGTTGGCGGTTTTTGTGTGAGAGAGAGAAAAAACACCGTCAGGCAAATGAAATTCCAGCTGAAACTCTTAGAAGTGACTCCGTACTTTCACTGGTCGATTTGGGAATTGCAACTTTTTGGTGTCAGGCGTTTTGTCGGCGCGCGGAGCCTCTTCAGAGCGGCCAGGTTGGAGCTACAGAAGGGCTCCTCTCGTGGCGGCAAAACAGAGAGGGGTGGGGGTGGGGGGGAACGCACACAGTCGCAAACACACAAACGCTCTGTCTGYACACTCACGCGCGCTCACCAACCTCATATATGAGACACAGGAGCGGAAACGGGTCGAATCCTACTTCAAATTCTCTTTCCTCTCGGCTTGTCGACCGGGGAAAACAAACCGACCCGAGGCACAGCGAATGGGGATTTACTAATTAACTACTTACACACACACATACAGACACACACACACACACACACAGAAAGAGAAAGGGAGAAACTGACTGAGAGAGGGAGAGAGAGAGAGAGAGAGTAAGGGGAAGACAGAGAGAAAGAGAGATACACACCTCCTCCTCTCCATCCTCCTCCTCCCCCCTCCTCCCGCTCTCCTCCCCGGGTTCAGGTTTGCTGGTTGAGCTGTGTCTCCGGTCGCTGCCTCCGTGCGCCTTCAGAGGGAACGCGTTTGGATTGACTGTGCGCGCTTCRGCCGGTGAGAACATCACTTCTCTAAAAAATAAATCTGAAGGTACGTTTGCTTGATTTGCACATTTTCTTTACATGTTTTAGTCTTTTCATTAAAACACCGCTATTTTTTTTCCATATCCAAAAAGGGGGTGACAAGTTGCCAGCGCGCTTCAGTGTTTGTTCTCCAAACTGTGTCCTGATGACARTAGAGTGATGATTTAAGGTTTGATAAAGTTCAGTTTAAAATTTGGTTTTAGGAATGTTTAGTTTTCTTGCCGTATGAAAAGTTGGACCGTGCGTAATTACGCATTCACCGGGGACTTGTTTTGGTGGAAACACTGGGAAAGTTGCTGCTTTTTCGCGCGCACCTTGGAAGTTGTCCTAATTGTCGGGCATGTCTTGGAGCGCGTGAGCAGGTGTGTGAGTCTCCCGCCTGTATGTTCAGCTGTCTGCCTTGGCCCGGATTAGCCTTTAAATGTCTCTATTTGTTAAGGCGTCCGGCTCTCACCTGCGCGCCGCCGTATCAATCAGTCAATTAAACAGGCATTCACGCGGCGAGCTGCACGAGACCTGAGCTTCTGCACATCACYCCCCTCCACCTCGTCGCTGTTTATGCGCTCGTTTGATTTGCCTTTATAAATGTGTGTGTTTGTGTCGGATGTTTTGCACCGATTATTCGTCTGTTTTCTTTCATGTGGCGACTCATCTCTGCCATAAATAGCACCACAGTGTCATTTGTCCTAAGATTAAATAAGTTGATCGGTTTTTTTTACTTGTCCTCCTGATTTGACAAACAGGATCTAAAGAAGGAAAAAAATCTGCCAGAATTTGCGAATATTTTCTAACAACCTTCCAAATTTAAGATTTTGGTTTAGGCAATGTTTTTTTAATGGAAAATAAATAAATCTGGGTTTTCGGTGACCATCTGTCAATGTGTGTCTTCATCAAAGGAAAAACTGTTGAAGTTGATTCCAGAAGGAGTGGAGCCGGGTGGGTTTTTCCACACTCGCATGGGAGTTTGTTTCAGAAGTGAGCGCATCGATACAGCGCGGAGTCAAGCTTTCCAAAAAATATTTATTTGGAATAATCTTTATTTCATTTCACATGCTTCACATGTTATTTATTTTTCTCTCTTTTTTTAAGGTGTTGGCGCCCTCACAACTTTGATGCATATTTATGCGCGCCGTGGGTGCGCTTCATCAATTATTTGTGCCAGTATATTTCCAGATAAACAGTGTTTGTAAATCGATACGTGCATGTAACTATAGCAGATTAAGAGATCGATCAATGGGTCCAGTCAAAAACC